GTCAAAATTCATATCCGTTTTCACCGTTGGATTTCCCACGATGAGTTCTTCAAAACTAGATCTCATATGGGTAGGTTTTATCAAACTTTATTTCATGGGCAACTTTGGATGCAATTGAGGCAACTTTAGTGATATAGAGAAGCAACTTCTTTTTTTTGGCCTAGTACAACTACTCATTAGGTTGGTTTGTAAAAAAATAAGGAAAATCATACAGAACATGAGGTGCATTTAGTGCTACATATAAGCAATTTCCCTGCACTATGTGTACCTTTGAATTTTTCTAACATTATCCCAACTTGCTTATCGTGGTTGCTCAATTGCCTATTGTTGATGTTCAGTTGCCCGCGGTTGATGCACAGTTGCCTATCGTCGATGTTCAGTTGCCTGCGGTTGATGCTCAGTTGCCTATAAATACTATGAAATTACCTACCATTGATGCCCATTTGGTGCCATTGCTAATTAGTTGCCTACCATGTTCTCAGTAGCCTAACTTTGCAAATTATTTGCCTACAATATTGTGAAGTTGATTATCATTATTTTCTAAGTTGTGCACAGACACTATGAAGTTGCCTACCGGTGATGCTTAGTTGCCTACTAGTGATGTTATAGGCAACTTCATAATTATAGTAATTATAGTAGACAAGCAGGAGAAATTTGCTTTTTACAAAACATGGATAGGCGATAATAGGATCACGTATGCATAATATTTGTTGTATGCACCTTCATAATAGGAGTTGCCTCATTTAGTGCTGAAAGTTGCCTCAATGTAATGCCCAAGTTGCCTACGAATGATGCTCAGTTGCCTATACATGGTGAAAATTTGTCTAGCATGGTTTCTACATTCTCTACAATATACTTGCTAGGTAAATTCAGTAGTACATATGGTGCAAGGAAGTTGCTTCTGTTCGGCACTAAAGTTGCCTCATCTAGAACCAAAATTGCTTTTAAAATAAAATCCGCAAAACATATTTATATGGGATCTAGTTTTGAAGAGCTTGTCACGAGAAACGTAACCGTGAAAACGGAACTTTGCTCTGACTCTCAGTTAAAAAGTTATAACTTTTTCAAAAATTTGTGACGGAGTAAAGTAAGACGACATCAGCACATGCATGTAGCCAATTCTTATGCCTGTGCACCATCATCACTAGTACCACGCGGACGACAGCATGAGGATGAAACGGTTCAGCTGCACTATTAAGTATTTGAGTTGTTTTATGGCCAGCCTTGGAAATCCCTCGTGTTTCTGAATCTTATATACATAAGAATTTGATCCTCACTATCCAATTATCTCAACATGCACACATGCCACCTCATCAAAGGCCCACCACTGCGTGCATGAGAAAAAGTTTTGCATTATTAGTTGATCTCACGTACACCTTTCACCTCACCATACATGCCACTTCATGAAAGGTCCACTCAACATGCATGAAAAATATTTTCCATTATGTTATGCCACTTATATTCGAAATATTCTCTGATTACACAATAATCAAATACAGTATACGATATTTATTTAGCTTTAGTTCATACAATTCAATGATGAAATCTTCATACGATCAAATCATTGAAATATATTGTAATAGATTCCCGCAGCAACGCGCGGACTATTCTTTAGTTTAGTACTAGAAGAACACCCGTGCGTTGCAACGGGGCCACATTAAATTTAAGAGTTCAATATCAATTATGTTAATATTACATTTAATATTCTCATACATATCAAGTGACATTGGCGACCTTTTTACTATCAAATTCTCACACACACTCTCTCCCTCCCTCCTCCTCACTCTCTCTCCCCCTCTTCCTCTCTCTCTCTCTCTAACACACACACATCCATCTTATTGGGTACGGGACCATAATATCCATCTATTTCACACGCACACGCGCTAGTGCATAACAATATGGATTATAAAACAGGTTCAAGGTAGTAACAAGGATTCTTCTCATGCATTAATAAACAAATGTTCTGCACTGAAGACAAGATAAACAATTCCCAAAGTGCATCAGAGCATCACAGAACATTACTGGCAAGATAAATGCACGATGTACCGGAGTTGCTCGGATGAACCGGAACAGAGCCAACATATATCATCCTAGACAAACGCAACATCAACCATTTACCTTGGTACTTTAGGGACCGACAGGAGGATGCATGTAGAAGCGCTTATTGCCTGCGAATCCACAGTCAGAGAGAGAAATTGGAACCCATTCCCATCACCAACTGATAAAGAAAGCATGTAAGAAAATTGATATCGGGACAACTTGGATCTTCGGTGATTGTCCGCCGGTATGGAGAATTTAGGAGGGTGGGTGCAGGGAGTGGCCTTGTGGATGATGGATGGAGGCGCGGAGGGATGTGGTCGCCGGAAGGTCGAAAGTGGAGAGGGTCGGGCACGTTAGGTGGAGCCGGTGGTGTGCAACAACCGGAGGCGGCCCAATCGTGGGCGGCGAACCGACGATAGCCTCGGCTCATCTCTCGACGCAGAGAAGATAGAGAGGGCGGCGCTGCCGGTGCTCGAGGCTGCCGCTCGGCACCATCTACATCGAGGGGAAAGAGAGGCGAGAAAGCGATAGGGTGATGCGGGGCTAGGGATTGCAGAGGAGGGTGGGGGTGTGCGATTTGAATGGATGGTTCTGCCCACCGTTTTCTTGTACGTGGCGGTGGAGACGGTGGCGTCCAGCCATGCAGGCGAGGCATGGGTCGAGCCAGGCACACGGCGAGGCGCAGTAGCAGAGGCGAGGGCGATTTTTTGCTACTGAGATGCATGGTGTGGGACTGATCGTTCATGTTCTCTTTTCCTTTTTAACGGGAGATGGATGCGATTTTTTCACGAGGGGAGAGATGCGACCACGTACAGATTCCATAATAAATTAATTAGGTCCATAACGGGAATTCTTTACAATGCGTTAAGATTTACGTGTTAGTTTTCTTAATAAAGAAATGCATTGATGTAGGGATCGATTGATTCGGGTAAGGTTCGTGATCTTTTGTATGTTAGAAAATTAGTGGTTTGCAAGGAAAGAGTGGAGAGAAAAAGAACCAATGCGACCACGTATAGATTCCATAATAAATTAATTAGGTCCATAATGGGATTTGTTTACAATGCGTTAAGATTTACGTGTTAGTTTTCTTAATAAAGAAATGCACTGATGTAGGGCGCGATTGGTTCGGGTAAGGAAAGATAGATTCGTGATCTTTTGTATGTTAGGAAATTATTGATTTGCAAGGAAAGAGTGGAGAGAAAAAGAACCAGTGGAGGTGGGAGGAGGACAAAAATAAACCGTACGAGGCTACCAACTGCTCCATTAGAAGTAGAGATTGTTTGTGAAAATAACGTGCGACGACGACTTAGCGAGCGGATCCCCTTAAAAAAGACATAGCGAGCAGATTCCCTTAAAACTGGTAGGAATGGGTACGATTGATGACGTTGATAAATAGTGGTGAATATTGGCCTAATTTAATATCATCATGCATGGAAACGAATCATCAAGAAAAAGAATACTTCCTATTACTACACTCATAGGAAGCTTCCTATAATCTCTGCTACCAAACAGTTTCTACCCAAACAAGGAAGGAAAGTTATGGACGTGATTCGAAAGGAAACAAACATTATGAAGATTAATTAATTTAGATTTTATATTAGAAATTGATTGTGATTGATTCTTTTACATAAAGACATTACTAAATAATTTGCGTCAGTATGGAAAGTTCTGATCCGTTCAGTTTTTTTCGTTGTGTGAGAGGGTGAAGTGAAAATAAACCGATGAAGTGGGGGAGGTGACGAAAAAAATCTACGACGGTTAACCTATGAAAAAAAACCCGGACGAAAGTGGTGGGACGAAAAAAACCTGGAAGCGAGACTACCAACTGTTCCATTAGGAGTAGAGATAAGGAATCAGGTTCGTAGCTGTTGACCTGTCATCACGCCCGCGAATCTGGTTCGCCTTTTGACCTGCCTCCCTAGCGTAATAAATAAATAAGGAAAAAATGCACTCAGATGGCTTGACATAGTCACGCTATGGCAGAAAGGGTGCAGCCCATGCGAAGGCCTCCTTATATTCAGGCTTGGACATGCTCCTGCGGCTCCGGTCTTCCTCCAAACCAGTGAGATCCAGCTAGACATGCGCGCGCGCGCGCATCCTCGGAGCCTTCCCCACCACTTGGTTCTTCCAGTAGTGAAGGCACCCGGGACTGGCCCCAGTCATCATCTCAGGCGCTGCCGGGCCATTCCGGCGTGTGGGTGCCACGCTAGGGCAGTGCCGGTAGAGACGCACCAAGGCGATCTCTTGTAGCCGGCCATGGACGGCGGCAGCGGCAAGGGGACGTGCCGATTGATGTTGGACGCCTAGAGGTCAGGCCTTTTCTCCCTTCTTATTTTGATCCCCTGTGGAGTCTGAATCTCTGTCAGATTTCGCTCTCGTTTCCGTCCATGATGGGAGCAGACGCAGCATCTGCCTGCCCTGGGCCCGTGGTTTAGGTCTTGATGAAGATCGCGTCGTGTCTTGTGTCTTTAACATGAATGATAGATATAGGAGTAATCTGCATAGCACATAAAGCTCACGTGTGTGTAGTGAAGGCTCAAGATAAGACGATGCGTTCCCCGAAATGGAACACCGACGAGGACATGATAGGGATAGAGCCGCAGAGACAGGACAGGAGCTACCTCGCAAAAAAAAAGAGACAGGACAGGAGCTGGCAGCACAAATCCAAATGGTCGACGTCGCATTTTTTTTTCTTTCTCACCTCACCTCACGTGAGCGAAGCAAACTTGGGCTGACCGCGTCCTGTCCTGGCCCAAGAGACCTGCAGCGACGTGGACGCCTCCTCCTGAGCGATCGGGGCGCGAAACGCAACGTTCTTCCGCGATGACGCACGGGCTCACTCCATTCGTCTCTCCTCTTTCTGTTTTCAGGAGGCAGCGGAGGAAACAAACTTGCAGATAAATCGCGAAGCAGACGCAGACGCAGAGGTGGAAGGGAGGTCGAGGGCGGCCAGGCGGGCGATGGCCACGGCCGCCGCCGACGCCGCCGCCGCCGTCCCTGACGCCCGGAGGTGGAGCAAGGCCGGCCCTTCGTCGCCGGTCACCACCGCCATCTTCCTCTTCTTCTTCGTCGTCGTGGTCGGCGTCCTCGTCTCCGCCCGTTGGATCACCACCACCGTGAGTCCGGCCTTTTTTTGCTCGCAAGTTTCTCTTTCCGTGAGAATGTTTAGGGAAGAACCACCGCTCGGCGATCCGTTAGGCTCTTACTTACACGGATTTGATTTGTCATCATGCGTGCAGACTCATCTGGCAATCACCAATCTGGATCAGTGGCGCACACAGCCGGTAGGTAAGCTCACAACCTTCTTTTTTTGAATCAAATAACTTATTTTACTCTCCACTAGAGAGAGTGACATGGGTACATGCATACAGTATATCCTATGATTTTCCTTCTCTCTGTTCCTAATTTAATATACTTTTGAACATCGGTAGTGTACATCTAGTGTATATGTCCTTGTTTCCAACACCAGATCACTCTTCCTAGACTAGGAAATGTCTTGATGACAGACAGGAATTACGTTACTGCCTCCGATTCATATTACTGTCATTCATTTAGTATGATTATGCACTAAATTTGTATTATATGAGCGCCTTTTTTCTTATCAAGAATGAACTTTACAGGGTTGATTCGTCCAAGAATTTTTGTTTAAGAAAGGATAATTTTCTGCATATATGGAATTAACAACATTTTTCACGTAGGATACAATGCTGTTGGCTTGTGTACAACACTGGAATTTCAAATTTGTCGCGAAATATCAGCTTTTCAAACAGGAATACTCACAGCCGTCGATCCGATCTCCGTGCAGGCAATCCTGACGGCCACGCTTACCACCTCCATCCCCGCCATCCCGGCCGGCCCGCCGCCGCCGCGCCCCACCTACTCCCTCTCCTGCTCGGCGCCGCCGCTCACCCGCGACCCCGACATCCCCAGCAACATCTCCCAGACCCTCTCCCTCGCGCTCTCCTCCAACGCCACCTGCGCCTCCGTCCCCGACCCCCAGCCGATCCCCCCCGCCGCCGCCGCCGACGCCGACGCCAACGCCACCTGCCCCACCTACTTCCGCTTCATCCACGAGGACCTCCACCCATGGCGCGCGGTGGGGGGCATCACGCGCGCGATGCTCGACCGCGCGCGCGCCACCGCCAACTTCCGCCTCGTCGTGCTCCGCGGCCGGGCCTACATCGAGCGCATCGCGCCGGCCTTCCAGACGCGCGACCTCTTCACCATTTGGGGCATCCTCCAGCTGCTCCGCCGCTACCCTGGCCGCGTCCCCGACCTCGACCTCATGTTCGACTGCGTGGACTGGCCGGTTGTCCACGCCGACGAGTACCAGGGGGACAACGCCACCGCCATGCCGCCGCTTTTCCGCTACTGCGGCGACAACGAGACGCTCGACGTAGTCTTCCCGGACTGGTCCTTCTGGGGCTGGTAAGTAACCCCTCCTCCCTTCTTTCGCTCTTATATTTCTTACGCATTTTGGCATTCCTATATTTCCTAACATCTGAGTTACTGCTCGCTAATAATGCAATGAATCCGGAGTCTTGAATCATCACCTGTGATTCATGCACCATTACTGTTATGATAATCATGTTTTTACTAGGAATAAGTAGTACGAAGACAATGTTCTTCATGTGACACATGGTTTGGAGCACATAAGTTTTGGTTCTTTCACTCGATCAATTGTCATGGCCGATCAGCATACCTCTGCCGTACTGGTACTGACTATATTTTGTGCATGTATGAAACGTGGATGCATATCTTTACTTTAGTATCAACTGGATCCCCTGTTTTGTTGCTATGAGAGCAACTCAATGAACGCAAACTGGTAACAATGGAAGAAAGAGCAGCACACTTTCCTGAAGTTCAGTATCTTGGGAAGTGGATAAATTTTAAGTTCATAGTAAACGGTGAACCAAAATTAGCTCTGTTCTTTTATGCTTTGATTTTTAAACAAAGTATAAATGCTCAAATTAACTTTTGTGGTCACAGGGCCGAGATAAATATAAAGCCGTGGGATGCACTGCAGAAGGATTTGAATGAAGGCAATAAGAAGGTGAGATGGATAGATAGAGAACCTTATGCTTACTGGAAAGGGAATCCAGACGTCGCAGCTATAAGGCAAGAGCTGGTTAAGTGTAATGTGTCCAGTGAACAAGAATGGAATGCACGGATTTTCAAACAGGTACTTGTTTGTGTTTATGTTGCGGTGCACTCTGTTATACTTGAAGGAAGTTTTAACATTCCATTTTATTCTCACAAGTAGAAAACCCTATTATATCTTGTCAAATCTTTTTTTTTTACAAATCTTCTAATCCTTCTGATCTAGAGCATAGCCTTTTTCCAAAGAAAATAATTTTGATGACGCCTATGGCTGAATAGAGTGTTTACTTTTGCATTCTCATTAGGATTGGATCAAAGAAAGCAAGGCAGGATACAAGAAATCAAATTTGGCCAGTCAATGCACCCATAGGTTTGTTTTCTTTCATTAAAAGTTAGGCAAGACTTGTTTGTTCTGTCGTCAGTATTGAAGTTGTTATGATGGGTGATAGGTACAAGATCTACATTGAAGGATCAGCATGGTCAGTCAGTGAGAAGTATATCCTAGCTTGTGATTCCATGACGCTGGTGATTAAACCAAAATACTACGATTTCTTCTCAAGGGTGCTGATGCCCACTCAGCATTATTGGCCAGTTCGAGATGACAATAAGTGTGGCTCCATAAAGTATGCTGTTGACTGGGGAAATTCTCACAAGAAAAAGGTATGTTATGCAGCACTATCTAGCAGCTACAATGACCATACTGGCTTTTCTATGAGCTGAAACACATTGTTCTTTTGTAGAAAATATCATGCCACTCAACATTTTGTATGCTTATAACATGTTTCTCACACCTCCCCTTCAAAAACTGTTCACAGGCACATCAAATAGGAAAGAAGGCAAGCAAGTTCATTCAACAAGAACTTAGTATGGACTATATATACGATTACATGTTTCACCTCTTAACTGAGTATGCTAAGCTCCTAAGATTCAAGCCAACCAAGCCACCTGAAGCTGTTGAGGTCTGTCCCGAATCTTTGGCCTGCCAAGCCATAGGTCGGGAGAAGAAGTTTATGCAAGACTCCATGGTGAAGTCTGCTAACGTTGCAGGCCCATGCAATCTGCCTCCTCCCTTCAGCCCTGAGGAATACAAAAAGCTACAACAGAGGAAAGAAAAGTCAATTAAACAGGTCGAAACGTTGGATCAAAATGCTTCAAAGCTCGAGGAGCGAAATTCTTCAAAACCTGAGGATAGCAATCCCGGGGAACGAAATGCTTCAAAACCTGAGGATAGCAATCCCGAGGAGCGAAATGCTTCAAAGCCCGAGGAGCAAAATGCTTCAAAACCTGAGGATAGCAATCCCAAGGAGCGAAATGCTTCAAAGCCCGAGGAGCGAAATGCTGCAAAGCCCGAGGAGTGAAATGCTTCAAAACTTGAGGATAGCAATTGTTGAGAACTCCCTAGTTTTTTACTTCCCCGAGGACTCGTGTATAAAGTTTGCTCAATTTTTTAGTATTCATGGTTGTACTAATTTTGTGTTGTAATATCAACAGCTTCTTATTTGAATGTTCATACGTGTAACATCTAGAAAAGTTAAAGATTATTTTAGATCTCCCTGATCCCCTTCCATTTACGTCTTGTTGAAGTTTTTTTTTTTTACATTAACCTCTGTTTCCATTTGTTATTTTAGTTGGAGCAATATATTTTGTAAGGGTATTAGAAATCCTATTAAGATTATGTTCTTTTTGCCATTCCTTTGATCAATTATGGGGCTGTTTGGTTCTTGTCCTCAAGCAAATTTGCCTCGCCTGAAGGTTCCCTGAGATCTGCCTGGACTCTGTTTGGTTGGCGCCTGTATACTCGAAGCTAGCCTGGCCTGGGAATTTAAAAGCATCATTAGCCTGCCTTGGAAACCGAAGAATGTCACTAGCCTGGGCCAGGCAACCGAAAAAGGACGCCTGGGTGCTGCCTGAGAATGCTAAACATGCATGTGAGAAGGAAAAGACACCTAATAGGCTGATGTGACATCTAGAATCCACAACCAGGCGTGGTCACGAGCCAAACATGGCTTGCCTGGCCAGGCACAAAACTGCACCATCCCAGGCGTGAGCCAGGCGCTCAAATTTACCAGGCACGCTGTCCAGGAAAGCAACCAAACTGCCCCTATGTCCATACTGAATGCGTTTATTGGTTAACCTACTGCGACAATGTTCTTTACATCTGCTGCAATTACGTTTCTTAAACTTCAAGACCAAAATGAATATGCCTGTTATCAGATATCCAACTTTAAGTTTGCAGGGTATTATGACTGCTTGTTGTGGTCTCTCTTACCAAAAGAAGCTATTACCTCTATTCCGAAATAATTGAAGTTCTAGGTTTGTCCTACGTCAAACTTGTTAAATTTTTGACCAAGTCTATAGAAAATATATTAACATCTGGAACACCAAATTAACCCCATGAGATTCTTTATGAAATAGATTTTCATATTATGTGTATTTGGTTTTGTAGATCGTAGCACATTTTTCTATATAGTTGGTCAAACTTAAACTAGTTGCAGCAGCAGCAACAATAACAACAAAGCCTTTAGTCCCAAACAAGTTGGGTAGGTTAGAGCTGAAAAACATATATGATCTCGCAACCAATTCATGGTTCTGACATGTACTCCCTCCGTCCCATAATATAAAAGCGCTTTTGACACCATTAACTAGTTTGACTTAGGACAAATGTAAACATTTCAAATACGGAGGGATTATTTGCTTCCTCTAGTGCAGAAGTTTACGGGTTATCGTGGGAGCTGTCCGTCGTTCTTATATTTTACCCCCTGCCTTGTATTTTAAGCTAAGGCACGCAATTTACGTGTTCTTAAAAAAAAGTGCAGAAGTTTTAGTACGATACAATTACAGACAATTTTGCATGTGTTTGAACATTTAGAGCATTTTTTCATTCTCAAGGAGCTTAGCATTAGTCCTCGCAAAAAAAGAGAGCTTAGCATTAGCATGGAAAGCTAGGCTCATACTTCTGTTTTTTTTACATTATACTCATACTTCTGTTTCCCCTGCCGAGTTGCGAGTCTTTTTGTACTGTACTTAGCGTAAGCAACAGTGCACCTTTTCTTCTTCTAGAAAACGCGCTTATGGTTTAATAAAAGAGAAAAAATTGGAGCATTTATCTATATCTATACTACTATTAAAAGAGCAAACATGAACTCTCTTAAAACCACCCAAACAAATGTACACGGGACAATTAAAACCCTCAGATCTAATCCAATTAGTCAAATCTAGGAGTCCATAGTAATTCGACAATCAAACGGTTCAGATTCGATGTTCTGCCAGGGCAGACGACGATCGATCTGACCGGGCCGGATGGATCACCCCCAACAAACCGCTAATCCCGCGCGGCAATCCTTCGTCTCATGCCCACGCACGCCGCATCTTCCTCACTAACTCCGCCGGTTATGCAGGCGAATATGCGGCCATCAGATCCCGTCCCTGGATGTCACCGCCCCACGCCGTTGGCACGGACTCCCCATCCCGTCGTTGGATGGAGGGTGCCGCTGGAAGCGGCCGTGCCAACGACGACTTGCCGCCCCTCCGGCCCTCATCATCCTCGTGCTTCTCCCGCACCGGCGTCTCCCCGCCGCATCGGCACCTTCCGTAGCAGGCCAGGACCGGAGCCGAGAATGAGGCGTCCGCACGCGACCATCTCTCCCTTCTAGCGCCTTCGACGCGCCCCCGACTGTTGCCGCCAACTTCATTGGAAGCTTCACGAAGATCCAGGTAATCCCCAAACAAACCATTGTCTGCTCATGATTTCAGAAGAGAAGCGGGGGAGTGTATTCATGTGATGAGTAAGAAGATAAACTTGTGTGGTTCACTGGTTCAAGTCACCGGATCAACTGTTAGATGCCCAGAAGGTAGTGTTAGTGTGTTACTACACCTGAAATTACAACTCAGCTAGCAGCTTCCTTCACAGTGAGCAGGAGATGCTCACCGCCGAGGCTGGGTTCAGAAATACAGATAGGTAGGTAGATGGACGAGAATGAGATACCTTTTTCCTTTTTCTCCTGTTTATCTAGATCGGCCGATCACCAAGGCATGTAGCTCTTTGTAATTTATATTGGAAGTGCAAGCATTCTCACATAGATAATAGAAAATGGTGGTAATCCGCTCAGGGAGTGATTCTCTCTAATTCATGGGAGCACCCACAGGGCTGTAATCGTCATGAAGATTCAGCAGTTCGCTCTCACTAATTCAGGGCGCGTCGAAGGCACCGCGACGGTGGGAGTCACTATACGGATATCAGGCCAGTTGCATTATTTCTTGCCTGATATTTTTATTTATTGTTGCAGACTGGGGTAGGATGCCGAAGATGTAGAGGTTGTTGCTCCAGTGACGCTGGAGCCCAATCAAAGGAAGAGAATATGCGCGTTTTCCCTCCTAACCATTTGAGTAGTGTTCTGTGCAATTTATGCACATTTTGAAAATTTAGTTATAGACGTCGAATTTATCTCCAATCCTCTATTGTGCCGTATCTTCTACAATCTTTCATATTTTAGCATGAATTTTTTAAAATGTGTGTTAGAAAGCTTGTATATCATACATACATGTGCTATTTTCTTTTGATTATCTCCTTTCAGACTGTTTGGGCTTTCTAGATCATAATAATTTGTTCTTAATAGCTCTTTGGGTCTTAGAGAATTCAGAATAAGTTCTTACAACAATCGTTACTGGATAAATCATGTATGATACCATGCTTGCACCCTTATTTGCAGCTGTATTTCAGGTTTTTGGCACAATAAGGTTAGTTTGTTTTTTCTGCTTTTTGGTTAGCACTGATGATAATTTGAACCTGTCAGACGGGGAAAGATATGCCCATTATGAGTGCATCTTGATTCAGTTTGAGGAGAAAGAGTAGTTAATTCAGCTTGTGGCATGTGTCCACACTTGTTAACCAATTAACCCTTTTCCATTTGTGTCTTAAAACTACTTTTGTTAACATTGCCAACCTAACAGAGGATCTACTTTTGCTAATAGTGGTCAAATAAAAGAGGATCCAGAGTTTCAGACTCTGTGTTGTACAGAATTATTCTTTGCCAACAATAGCTTTGCTAAGTTTCTCTTGCCTCTCGGTGTTACTACAGGGATTTAGAAACACAAGGAATGATTAACGATGAAAGAACCACAGATAGATCTGTGATTTCTCCATTGGCCAATAATTCAACTGCATGTTTTAGGAACCACAAATAGCTTTGGGTATTTTCTTTGTACGCATTAATAATTTAATATTATATATTGAGAACTGAAATAAATATTTTACGTCATATTTATTTGAAACTTTTCATATTAATAGTGCAATGCATAGATTTATTTTTCTATGTTTTTATGTTTATTTCCCACTAGACTGAGAATATTGATTATACTAGACAAGTAGTCATTGTTGCTTTGATTCAGAATGAGAAACATTAATTTTTCTGAATCATTGTTGGTGAAGATGGCAGATTTCAAACATGGTGGCGAACAAAGGTTTATATTGCAGGCGCCTCTGATTTCTTAAGTTCTTAACAATTTAATGATCGCTCGCTACTATTCTCATCATTATTATAGATAAGAATGCCAGGCCCTTCAGTTTTCTACTACCTTGACGGTAATTGAGATGACAAGGAAATACACGGGGAAGCAGATAACTTGGATCATACAATGTCACAAATTGTGTTGGCCAATGTACTTTGCGGCTCAGACAAGGACCTTTATATGCACATCACAATTTTGTGACAGTAGTCTTTTTAAGCAAAATGACCCTATGAACATACTTATCATTAGTTGTTTCCTCATAGTGGGAACTTTCTATCCAGCTAAACTGGAGCATCAGGTAGCTATCACACACATCCTTTTGAGAACAAGAACACATTTATTTATATGTTTGTCTTGTTTTCTGTTTGTGCTTGCAGGAAAACAGTCTAGCTACTAGAGATTTGAGCTGAAGCACAAGCCTTTCCTCTTGGAATTGATTTAGAACCCAAGGGAGGAGTTCCTATCATCAATGCTAGCTGTACATTCAAATGCATATGCTTGTGAGCTCTGCTCTCTAAACACCCTAAAGATAACAGATGTTATTTTGTACTCTTAACAGGTCTCCCATATGGTAATTGTCTTTATAAAGCACCCTATGATATTTCTAGAAAGTAAGGTCATGTAGGAAAATGGAGCGGTCCATCTTTGGTTATTCTCTACTCAGGTGTTTATTGCAGTGTTGTCCTTTTTTATCTTTCAGTAAAGTGCAAATTGGTACCTTTAAAAGAAGCTCCTTTTTGTGAAAATTGTTATTTCCTTATGGTGACTATTTCCATACGAACTACTATTGTTTGCTTGCCGTTTTTCTGTTGCATCATGCCCATTCCACAACCTTTATATCGAATCCTGA